ACATATATATTTACATATTAGATACATATATATATATATATGTATCTAAATTGTTATCGTATATATTTACATATGTATATAATTATTATTGTACATATCTGCAAAACATGAAAATTTCTGTCATAAATATAACACGCTTGTGCGTTTTGATTTTGATAAAAGCAGAACACGATACTTGAGTCTGATGTTACAAGATTCGATGTTAAAAGGTCGTTTACCTATATATCGTATGATACTCGGGTGCTTACGAAATTTCCGTCTTATCAAATATATCGGTTTTCGTCAAAAACCACTTTATGAGAACTGATCGAATGTTTTTTACAGCAAACCGTGTAATGAAATGACGCGGCAAATGTTACAGTGGCACAAAAACAAACTGACGCACATATCTGTTTCGTAAAGAAGTTATAAAAATAAAAATAAATCGTATGCTTGTGCGCAGATATTGATATAATACCACAACTTTTGACATTATATAGATGTGAGAACATTATAATGATGTCAATAAAATAAAAGAGAGATTCATAAAACTACCTTTTTAAAAAACATTACGTACGAGATATACATAAATTCTTCACAAATGTCAGAGATTTATACATATATGTATTATGTATTCGTTCACGTATAAATTTTGTTTTTTTTTTAATTTTGTTTTTTTTTTTTAAAGTGATTGATCGAAAATAACATATTTTTCTCGAGACAACCTTTTCGGCTTGCAAAACTCGATTTGTTTCTCTCTCTCCGCGTGTTCGAAAGAAGAAAAAAAAACCAGAGCGGAGCTTTTGAAATTGTGCTTGTGCAACGACACTATTTATCGGCTTATTATTAAATGTATTTCTACAATCTTGCAAAGGAAGGCAGGAAAAGACAGTTGTTACGTATAACGTTACGTATAAGGTGCAATTACACACGCACACACACACACACACGCACACACACACATTCCATAATCGCGACGCGATTATTTGGAAAGAGGAAAGTGCTAGTGTTGTACAATGGAGACACGTACCGAATTATCGACGAGCGCATGTATCACGTTTCGTGTCGAGTTTTTCGCCGAACCGTATATAAAATGATTCATACGCACGTCAAGTGTCTATCAACAAATAAAATTACATGATTCTCCCGAGTGTATTATTAACGATGACGAAAATCAAAGAGATGAAAAAAAAAATGAAAAATCTTAATATCTACATATCAAATACTCTCAAAAATATATGTACGTGTGTGTTCTCACGAGCTTTTACTTTTTTTTTTTTTTGGTTTCTTGTCCTCAAATATTTACAAATAAATAAAATAAACTAAAATTTGATTCAGTCGGATTGAGAGATAATTCACGAAGAATTGCTTCAGTTCCACACAAATCAAAAGACAAATTTTTGATTTTAAAGCAGATCTGTTGATCAAAGAGATGTAAGTGTTCAAGCACGGTATTTGCTCGCGCTCGGCAAAATCGATTGACGCGACGAACAAAATTCCGGAAGTAATTGTCAAACGAAATTACTCATTTGTTGCGATCACCTTCGCGTTGTCAATTATCTTGACATCGAGAAAGGAAAAAAAAAATGGAAAAACCGCTTTTCGACGATCAACATCTTTCGAATCTCTTCGGCGAAACGTCATCGTGTCTCGGACTTTGGATTAGACTACGGATGTGATATTGGTAAGTCACGATTCACGCCCATCTCTTCGCAAGACACTGCTATCGCTTGCTGCGAATCAGGGAACAGAACCTACCACAATGCGAGCCAAAGTCTAACGATTCTTGACCCGCTTGCTCGCACGTGCGTCTGTGTATTTGTGCTTGCATGTCGCGTGCGCTTTGCTTGCACACGTGGTTTTTCGCGCGCGATCGCGATACACCTCTCTCGCCGCGATAATAGTCGCGGCGTTATTTGCGCGCGATAAAGGAAGCGCCCGCGTTCGGCGCGCAAACGTCGCGACGTGCCACACACGCGCCGGCACGGATATCGCGGGACTTGCTCCGCATCTCGCGGGGATGCAAATGTCGCCGATGATTCATGACCTATTATTATTATTAATTTACAATGCAACCGACTGAAAGATTAAGATTAAGTCTTTGAGAGTCTTTTGATCGCGGGAAACGACCTTCGACGTTTCTCAAAAGCGGTCACGCGGAAGGATGTTCGTAGCGAGTAAAGTTTTCGTAAGATTTAATACAATAGAAAAAAAAAAAAAAACAAACAAACAAAAAGAAGTTTGCTAAATATCTGCTGTAACAAGTAATCGGGCGAAGGAAGCGATTGTCGCGTGCGGAACACAATGCGGCGGCGTCTCCCGTGAATTCGCGTCAGAGCTATACGGTTACGTGGTTTTTCTGTGTCATTCTGCGTCAGCGAATTAGAATTTTGATAGAACTGCGGTCGCGATATCTGGCGATTCTGGTCTACTTGAGGGATATCCGCAACGTCAAGAAATACGTCTCCGACTTTTTCTTATGTAACTCTCGATCTGGTTCGCCCTTTAGAATTCATCTGTGTGTTTTTCTCATTTCATTTTCACAGTTCTCTTCCTCATGAACCACGTCAGTTTTGTCGATCTCTTTCACTTGCGTGACGTCAGCAATGAATACGGTTCTCTACGGTAAAAGCGGTAGTTCCGAACGAGAGAAGCGCCAATGTGCTAATGAGCGAGTGAAATTTATGAACACACGATATTACTCGGAGTCAAGGTCCGGTCGAGTTCCGCAACTTTGCTCTCGCGCTTATATAGGCCTAGTTATCGCGTTACAAAACCGCACGTATGTACACACACACACAGACGATCCTTCACAACCCGTGTTACCCGACCGACATTACATATCGCAACAGGTGTCCGCGTCCGCACGTGGACGCGGCAAAGTACACGGATGATCCCGCTGACTCCGTTGATCCAGCAAAACATTTGCGCACATGCTGTCATCCTTGCTCGTCTCTTTCTCAAGCGCGTTTCGAGGACGCGCTCTCATCGAGATGGACATAAAAAGATGTAATATTTAAACGATTCTTGACTATAGTCGTTGTGATCACGTATTCTACGTGTATATTATGTTTTGTTTGCAATAGAAATTCATATTTGATAACATAATTACGCATTCGGAAATCAACGCGCAAGAACTTGTAGAGATTAATGCAAAAAACTTTATTGCATATATTTGTAAAAAAAATTATTATATCTATATATAAAATATATAGATACATGAGAGCGCGTCCTCAAAACCCGCTTGAGAAAGAGACACGAGGCAAAGGATGACGGTATGTGCGCAAATGTTTTATAAAAATTATATTATACGTATAACCTGTCTGCAAACCTTATTACATATTTAAAGCTTCGTAGAAACGACACGATTATAAGAAACAGCAATAGGAACAAAAAAATATATTTTAATTTACAAGCCGTACGACTTTTTTACGCGACAGTTCTTTGTTGCAAATGTCGAAGAGCGGATTGATAAAAAATACCGAGAACCGCGCTATTACAGTGGCTTGCAAAAAATCATGTTTTTTACATCAAAAATTAATCCAAAATAAAAATTTTGTCTTTCTTTGCGCGCCGGATAGATATTTCGACAATCTCGTTGCAGTTTGCGTCAATCATCGAAGTATCCTATCATTCTTCTAAGAAACTGCAGTCGACGGCAACTTTGCATCGCAAAGCTGACGCTTATTTGCTCAACATTGCTTGTACAATTTTGTATTGGACGTGTGTCGAGAAAAATATGCTGCGTAAAATAACAGAGATGCTTTACCACTCGAGACGATTCTGTCCGTGTTTATACCGCATAAGCAAATTTGTGTAAAAATAATCCTAGACATATACTTCATATAGATATTTCTTATGAAATTCTTTAAAAAAAAAAAAAAAAAAAATCTACAAGCAAGCGCAACTTCATATCAGCAAAAGAGTTATAAATATGAATTTATGACTCTTATGTAAGTATAAATGCAAATCCGTAGGGAAAAAAATGTCGCTTCTCAGTCGTGAAATAATGTTTTATGAAATTTTCATTTATATTAAAATGTGAAAACGACAATGTGTATCAAAAAAAAAAAAAAGGAAAAAAAAATGATTTCCTGAAATAAAATTAATTCCGAGAATACTCGCGTGGATAATTGCTAACGTGTGTTAGAGATTACCTTAAATAAAGATTGAAACTGACGTCAAGCTCAACAAAATTCACAATGTTCCGAATACTTTCGCCATACACGACGCAGTCGCCGCTCACAGACGTACAAGGAAAATGCAGCGAATTATCGCGAGCCTTTCTTGCGCGTAATAAATTCGCAGCTGGCTGTGAGTGTCTTTTTCACACTCTTCCGGTTACGTCTCGCCGACAACAAGAAAATTCTTCTGAAATAAAACTCTAAAGCAAATCCAACAGCCTCTCCGATGTGTAATCGCGTAACGCGCGTCGCGCTCGGAAATTCGCTCCCGCGGACACGACACAATCCCTCGAAGCGCAGTTAATTGCTCGATATCGTAATTAGCGAATCTGAATTATTATCTTCCCTCCTCTCTTTCTCGCGATCTGCATGCCGCGTGCTTTCACTCGGCCATCGCTTTCGCTACAATTTACCGAACGTTATGCCGTAATGACAGGATAAAATCTCAATGTTTCTCTTGGAAATAGCAAAGAAATTTCTCGATTCCCCACATTCACGCCTATGTAATTCTCGCTTATTGCGCTTGCCTCATAACCGTCAGGACTTGCAAAAAAAAACCACTCATTATGCTCTTGACTTCTGCCTTTTTTAATGCGACGTGCGCGAAGTCTCGCAGCCGCTCTCTTCGGGGGGGGAGAGAAGAAAAGATTGTTCTTCCTGTTCTCTCGCGTCCTCTCGCACAATAAGCGTTCTCCTTCGTCGCCGAATGAATCGGCCTCTCCTCTTTTCTTCAGGTGTCCAATTGATCTCTACGAACTTAATCCAGCGCGACCGCGATTGCAACAGCCGCGCCGCTATGGCGTGCGTGTTCTTATTATATTACACAATCGCCTCTCTCTTTTCTCTCTCTCTCTCTCTCTCTCTCTCTCTCTCTTTCTTTCTCTCTTTCTTTCTTTCTTTCTCTCTCCTTTTCTTTCTTTTCTTTTTGTGAATTAAATAGTAACAATATTTCTTATTCATGATTTCCTGACGAGCAAATCAATTCGCTGTTATTTTTCTCTTTTTCTGTCTTCGTTTTTATAAACGTGAATGTACGTGCGTTCTCATACGTCATAATGACATCGCAAATCGATTTGCATGGTATTAATTATTTATGCATTCTCTCCACACGAGTAATGATTAAAGCAACGCGCGACGCGCGGCGGTTCGAGCGTCGCCGAGGCTTTTTAACTTTTGTAGATTTTCGACGGCCGCGCGCACAGGCATATTGCGTTTGCGTAGACTGTTAGCGCAGAATTAGCATAGGCAAACAGCGGTAAAGAAACAGGACACGCTCGAAGGAAGAGAAGAGATATGTAATTATCATTCTCCCTGTAATACCAATTTTTCAAATCGTCTTCCTGATATTCGAAATCAAGTCGCTCGACATGTCAAACAGGAAACGGTTTAATTTCCGATATTTGTACATTGATTATATTTTTTTTTCAAACACGCCGATAACACGAACCGGTTAATCCACCCTTCAAATATCGCTCCAAATATCTATCTATCCGCGAGCAACGGATTCTCAATCTCAAACAATTAACACCTTAACATCCGTCAGGTCTTGTAAAAATTTTTGCTGAATTTTGCGATGGCAATTTTGAATTACAAAAAAACATTCCGCACCGCGAATGGTTTACAAAAGGCTGATGTTTTGCCATCATCTCGAGACGAAGAAGCTCGTATGATTGCATGCATGACACATATGCGATATGCCATTATCGAACAAATGACACGTCTCAAAATATCTATGTGCTTGTTCATAAAAAATTATCAGTACACACATACGCGTCATAGAACAAGCGTTTGTTTTTTTATTTTTAGCCTTTCACTGAAAAACAAAACCTATTTATATATGATTGAGCATTTTTCAACTATACAATTTTATTAATTATTCATGTGAAATGATTGTCGTTCGTTGAAACAAGTCCAGGCAAAAACGCGCTCTCGACTATGATTACGTTATGTAAAGTCAGGGAGGAACAAAATATTGTAACAAAAAAACCCCCGACGGTAATCACTTGCGACGGTAATCACTTGAGCCGCGTGTACAAGAATATACTTTTTTTTTCTAACGTGACGCACTAAAAAAAAAATATCGCAACATGAAAAATATAATCCACTTGACTTTCTTTTTACCCGCAAGTAAATAAGTCATCATCCCCGCTATCTTTCGTAATCTCGATCGGACAAAATATCTCAATGAGAATTTTCGGTAATCTCGACCTTGATATGATTGATTGGAAAAATTTCCAAGACTTAAAGGAATTAACATTCTTACACACAGAGTTTCGCATCGACGAGAGTGTTGCTTGGATTTTTTTTCCCGCCAAAAGTATATCCCGATAAAATTTCAATGTAACGCGCAAAGAAAAAAGATTTTTTTTTTTTTAACAACAGTCTGAAAAAAGCAGAATATTGAACTTAAAATGCAGATATTTCAAAATCGAAATAGATAAGCAATGTCGAGTGGATTACGGGATATCAGATACCTATTTGCAATCACTCAAGTATCGTACTTACAATTTAAATCTTCCGCTACTTTTTGTTACATTTTCACTATCATTTACATGCTTTACTGGCAGGCCAATCACGCACGCACTCTCGCATGCACACACGTATTATTATAGGTCCGGTGCGGTACAATTCACGGCGCCACTTGCAG